TTAGGGTTTAGGATTTAGTAGGGGTTTCGGGTTTAGGGTTTAGAGGGTTTATTTAGGGTTTAGGGTTCAGGCCCTTTCGGGTCTTGGGTTTAGGGTGTAGGTCTTAGGGATCTTAAGGGGCTCCTGCAAAAGGTTTCCGCAAGAATCTTGAATTTGTCTGTCGGGCTCTTTCAGGGTTCCGGTGTCGGGGCAAAGGATTCTTGCAGAGTGTCTCTATGGCACTACAAAGAGGTCCAAATGGGGGCCCATACGGTTCGAGAAGGCTTCTATAAGGCTCATAAGGCTTGGTGTAAAAGGTTCAGGGTGTGGGTGGTAATTTTCGCTGCCTCAATAATTAGCGAGGGGTGTCGGGGTCGATTATAGTACCACGATGCAGGTACTATAAGCGGATAGAACCGCTAATTGTTAGTTATTTGCTCTTCCATGTTAACGACCTCACGGGTGTTCTGAAGGTTGTCAGGGCTCTACCGAAGCTCTGCACAGGCTTTGCGCGAGATCGGGCCTTGGCAATGGGAGCCCACCAAGCCCGAAAGACTGCAGAAACTGAAACACAAAACAAAAAACATAAAATCCCAAACCCTACAACCCAAAACCCCGAACACCTTAAACAACACTGCGCCGCACAACACTTTTCAGGATAGCGCCTACATCCTTCCTAAGCTCATGAAGCCTCAAAGCAAACCTCAAAGGAACCCCTGAAAGAACCATTTAAGGAACCCTTCCGGGAACCCCCTAAAGGAACCCTTCAAACAACGGCGCACCGTCGAGGACGGAAGCGAGTCGGTCCGGGTGAAAAGGACGCAGCCTGCTTGAAGACTTAGGGGGGTGCAGTACTCAGCAGGTAGCGGTTTAGAAGCTCACCCTTCATCACTGCATACTCGCCATCCTTCACAATCCCGCGGACGAACCATCACCCAACCCCTTCAGCTGCTCATCCCTTGTTGCACCCTCGGTCTCATCTGGGACTTCTTCTTCAGGCAGCATGGGGTGCAGGACTCCACCAACATCAGCTTTTAGGGGGTTTAGGGTTTAGGGTTTAGTTGTTGCACCTAAGGGCCCACCGCAACGACACAAACGGTTCAAAGATGGAAGTACGGGTAGTAGAATTCTTCGATGAGGGCCTACCTCTAATGATAGCCTACTTACGATCTCTGCTGATGCTTGCAGTGGTGTCAGAGTGTCGGTAGAGGACGTCATCTTAAGCTACGTGAGGTGCCGAGGATGGTTGGGGGTGGGTTCAGGTCTTAATACGAAGCCGAAACACAAGGCTTTCAGGAGACCGAAGATTTGAAAGCGAATTGTGGGGCTGATTGGATCCTAAACTCTAAAGCCCCACACCCACCTAAACTTTGATGGCTTTGCCTACGGAGTCTTACCACGGGCTGCGACAGCCTTGTGATACCGCTATATCATACCCTTATGATGAGCCTAGTGGCGATCTTTCGGATACATTTCAAAGCTTCACAAGTCTTGCAGAGGGTTTCTTTGACGGGAAAGCTATAATGTAGAGGCCTGAGTAATTAGACTAGGGTCTTGGGGCCCATTATACTATAACTATAGTAAGGAACCCCCAAAATATTATAGGCAATTATTTAGGCCCTCATATTAGGGGTTTGAGTGTGCCGGGCTTCTGAAGGAAAGCCTTGCAATGCCCCAGCTTCACAAGAGCAGAAGGACCTTGCAAGCACGGGGTTTAGGTTTTAGGGTTTAGGCTTTAGGCCCCACAAGGTCGTAAATTCTGACGGCTATGTGGTCTCTAGGGTCCTCAGAAAACAAAAAGACTTCAGGGCTCTGTCCCGGCCGAAGCGCTGCACAGCACAAACTAAGCCCATACACCTTTCCCCTGAATTACGGCCGAGAAAACTAATGAAGAATCCTCAGTCTCTGGCCACGTTATTCTTCACGCAAAACAAACGTGCATCTCACGATTGAACGCATGAACGCGTGGTCTTCAACAGATCCCTGCGCCTCCGATAGATGAAACTGGAGATGCCAAACTCCTCGATCCGTTGCGGAGAAGTCTCCAAAGACCCCAGAACTGTTAAATTCACGAAGATGCCTGAAACTACATAGGACTTGAGACGAGGCTGGTTAGAATGATTCTCGTAATCAAACAACTCCTAAAAGTCTATATAATCCACAACTCCTAAGCCCTAAACGGCCCTGAACCCTGAACCCTAAACCCTAAACCCTAAACCCTAAACCCTAAACCCTAAACCCTAAACTCCGCCCTACCTAACCCAAGCGACGTCTCCTCGGTCTCCGGCTTGTGCGGAGTCCCTCGCCCCTGCAGCTCGGCCACCCAGCCCGGAAGGGAGCTGGCGCCCTCCTGGGTGTGTTGGGGTTAGGGTGTAGGGTTTAGGGTTCAGCAGCTCTTGGTCGAGCCGTTTTAAAGTCAAGCTGCATTCATAGTTATAGACATATCACCCACCCACCCTTAGAATCCCATAACATTGGAGCTAGAAAGTTTTTCTACTCCAACCAACGCTTGAATCTACTTTTAGTCTTATG